ACCTCATGATGGGTGAAATCATACTGGGACATGTTAATGGTGTAGTTGGGGGTCACTGATGGCAATAGTGCTAGAGTTGAAAGCAGCCCTAGTGACCCAGCGACTGCTGTCTGTTGAGTAGGGAGGAACAGAGAGACTTAATTATTTTTGATAGCATTTGTCTCCTATTTAAGAGATTCCTACACTCTTATATTTAAGATTTTGTTATATAAATTCAATATTATTTTTTCTCTTTTTCTGGTACAACCTATCCATGAGACCATCAAGGAATGGAAGAATGTTACATCCAATTTCTTTATTATAGGACTACAAAAATTTGTCCCTCCTTGTTAAGGTTTTGGTAAGTTACTTTTTGTTCTTTCTGTGGTACTGAGAATTGAACCCAATGCTCTATCACAGAACCACACCCCATAAACTGTTTTGATATCAACCCATATTGTCATTCTCTTTAGTAAACTTTACAGTCATGATTATTCTTCAGTCCTGACATTAATTATGCCCTTTTCCTTTTTCACTGATCACCAACAGTTTGTCAATTTTATCATTCTTTTCAAAGAATCAACTTATTGTTTGTTAACCTTTTAGGGGACATATTATATATTTCACTAATTTCTGCTATTAATTATTTCCTATTTAGGTTTAATTTTCTGTTATTACTTTGGTTTCTTGAGAATAATGCTTAATCAACGTTTAGTCTTTCTTTTCATGTATGCATTTAAGACTACAAACTTCCCTTAAAGACCACAGTAACAGATAATGAAAAAACAACTTGATGGATCATCAATAGATTCAAGAAAAGTGATTGACAATATTCAAAACTGTACATTTTTTTTTTTTGGTGGTAGCAGGAATTGAACACAGGGCCAATGTATCACTGAGCTGTATCCCCAGTCTTTTTTTTAAAATATATTTTTTAGTTGTAGATGGACACAACACCTTTATTTATTTTTATGTCGTGTTGAGGATTGAACCCAGTGACTCACATATGCTAGGCAAGCACTGAGGTACAACCGCTAGTCCTCCCCAGTCCTTTTTGAGACAGGATCTTGTTAAGCTGCTGAGGCTGGCCTTGAACTTGTGATTCTCCTGCCTCAGCTGCCTGACTTGCTGGAATTATAGTTGTGTACCACTATGGCTGGCTAAATCATAAATCCTTTTAAACAAAATATAAGTAAAAGGGGACTTCCTTAAACTCATGAACACCACAGCAAACAGCATGCTTAAAGGTGATTTCTGAAAGATTTCCCTGAGATCAGGAACAAAGATAGGAATTCCACTCTGACCACTTCTACCTAACACAGTACTGAATATTTTGGTCAATGTAATAAGAAAAAAATGTAAAATGGCCAGAAATAAGGTTTTTATGAGCATATAAGCATGCAGAATAATCCAAAAGAATCCATAAAGTGTTAGAATCTAAGTGAATACTGCAAGATTGCTAGATATATAAGCTCATTATAAGTTAATTATGCATTCATATATTTTAACAAATAGAAAACAAAATCCTAAACACTTTGCAATAGTATCCAAATAAGTATTTGAAAAGATGCATATTGTTAATCAATCATTATGGAAATTACAATTAAAATCACAATACCGGTACATACTTACCTTGAAAGGGAGAAAAACAATAGGCTGACTGGGCTGTGGTGGAGACCATCTCTGTGACAACCAGTTCTCTCTCCTAAATTAATCACATGTTTCCTGGGAGTGGGGAGAGTTGAAGGAGGTTCCTGAGGTTTGCTTATAGATCACCACAATGCTGAACTACAGGGTGTGGGTCCCCCAAAAATAGGCAAATAAAGTTATTTTCCTAGAACTATTAAAAAATTATCAAAAACTGGGTGGCTTAAGACAGTAGAAAGTTCTCAAGGCCAGAGTCCAAAATGAAGAGGTCAGCAGGGCAGCACATCCTCTGCAGGCTCTAGGAGAACTCTCCATATCTTCCAGTTCCTGCTGTTGGCATTACTTAACTTGTGGCTACATCTGTCTGCTCCGTCTTCATTATGGCTTTTCCTCTGTGTATTTCCCTTCTTTCTCTTTTTCTTATGAGGACGCTTCTGCTGGCATTTAGGCCCCAACAGATAATCTGAAGTAATCTTATCCCAAAGTGTTTAATTATTACATCTAGATTTTTTTAAAAATAAAGTAACTTTTACAAATTCCTGGACAGGGTATATATAATGCTTTTGGCTAGCTGTTATCCAGCGAACTTCATTTGTGTTTAATATTTTCTAAATAGAAGAAAAAACTAGAGACTAGAGAGCCTGACTGGGGAAAAAACAGCCTGGGAAAACGTGGTGTATATGTTGAAAAGGGAGAACTAAGAAGAAAGACTTGGTTATTATAGGAGTAACATTCTCTGGATTCAGAGGGATGACTGGAGATTTTACAAAGGGGTGCTGCAGCACAATTTCCTTCTTCCTCAACAGGACCCTGTCCCATAAAAAGACTGCATTACCACATACTTGTCCAAAGGAGTTGGCAGTAGTATGCTGCCCAGTTGATACCCATTCTTTCCTTTTTCACTGAAAAGAACTCCAATTTTGTTTGGGGTATCAAATACTCAGATCAGATCAGTTCCCTAATCTCCTCAGAGGTCATACAGCAGTTTTGATGGGATGTTAAGTAGAAATACTTAAATGGAACTTCTGAAAAACCTTTCGCTTTGCTAATAAAATGAGATACACATTTGTTTATTTTCCTCTAAGTCCTTCCTTCCTGAAGTACTGAGGTGACTCCTTGGGGTTTGTCAGGTTCTCCAAGTCCCTTACAGCACTGTAGTTACTACATCAGCCCTGAACAGTTTGTCTGGGGTCTTTTCTGTTATAAAAGAAAAACAATCCCTAATGGAGTTTAAGTCACTCTTAATTGGTTTGTAATCAAGATACAACTTTAACCTAAACAAACTGTTTCACAGATTCCATATGATCAACAAAAACAGACCACTTCAATTTCTCTGCACACTTAAAAAAATAAGGCCACCTTCTAACCAACACAGATCCCAGAACAGCACTCGAGTGCACACGTGTAATTATTTCATCTATTCCATACATTTGCAATAAAGTACAGAGAAGGTTAATGTAGACTCTTTATTGATTCCACCAATGTATCAGTAGATATGGTAATAATAAATGGTTCTTTTACATTCTCTTAACCAAAAATATAACAAATATTTACACTCAGTAAAAATACAAAAAGCATACAGAGGCACTGTCTTTCTAAAAGACATAAGTTTAAGAGGTATCAAAAAATAGGAGACAAACATTGCTTATTATAGGATACCTTACAATCACTGAATTGTGCAGTATAGTTGCTATTTTGATAATTACAATGGTGCAATTTTGTTTTTGTCTTTTGCTGATAAGCTTACGTTTCAATTTAAAAGATCAAGTGTAACCGCATTCTGTATATCAAAAATAAAGAAGCCTTAGAAGCACAACAAAAGCTAAAGATGAATTGGGGTTCAAGTTTAAATTTAAAAATGTATTTGACACTTTTCTGAAGAGTCATCCTTTTTTCCCCTAGCCTTTAAGTAATGCTCAAGGGATACAAACACTTTAAAATAATGTTTTGTATCCAAATAACAATCACTGTTTTAACTATACAAAGAAACTCCCCCTGCTCCACCTTTTTTTTGGGGTGGGGCAGGGGAAAGAATATTTTATAAATAACACATTTCTAAGTTCATCCTTAGAAATCCCCATGATTACTGCTGCATTTCCTGTCTAGGAGAGATGCTCAGGAAGGTGACATAGATGACAATGATCTATCTGACTTATCACCTTCACGAAAACCCATTAAAAGATTCTTCTCCCCAAAGATCATCTTGAAATCATTATTCGAGGAAATGAGAATCTGTTAATTACAATAAACTTTAATGGAACTATATACTGGATTTACTAATTCTCCAAATCTTGCATTATGAAGAGATTCTGCTGAAATTTATCATTTGGCAAAAGTTTACACTCAAGGTTTACTGTTTTTACAAGTTTTGGCAGATGTAGAGTTGTGGTGGGAAGAGTGGGCACTAGTCTTTTCAATGAAGTTTAAATTTATAAAACAAACACAAAAAGGGATTTGGAACTGGAGCAAGGACAGGTTAAGGCTTCCCCATTCTAGTCATATAAGAAACTAAGAAAAGACTGAGAAATTTTGAAAGAAGTCAATAGTTCATCATATTGTAAGGGATTTATACTTATCAAACTACAAAGCATTTGGTTTTAGTTCCTGATCAATGTGATCAGCTGATCCACTCACAGTTAAAGCTAAATACAACAAAGGCAGCTACATGGTGCAAGTCTAAAACCATAGGCCTCAACTCTCTGAGCAAGGTATTGTTTACACCACTAAGAACAAAGACAGTAAGGCTTCCATTTGGTTTGAAAGACCTGCTAAATAAACAGATGCTGTGCAAATAGCACATATTTTTTTTTTCTGGAGTAATGGATATAAAATGGTGAGAATAAATACCCAAACTTGATAAAAAGGTGGTTATAGCAAAAATATCTTTCTGTCTTTTTTTTTTGCTGAGGACACAAAAAGAATGTTATGTAAATCACAGAATAAAAAATTTATAATCAGAGAACCACTATTTATAGACCAAATTACTAGAGTGTGACTTTCAAGCCAGGGTTTTTGATTCACTTTCCTCTTCAAAGAACCAAGAAAGCTATGAAGTGACCTAGCTTTATTTTAACATATTGGGGTTAATCTCTAAGGCTTAAGTTTCAGCTTAATGTCCCCCACCAGGAGATCATCATTTTGATGGGAAAAATGAATTGCTATGATTTATCACCTGGAATTCATTTATAATTTTAATAAAGGAGACAGGCAAGAAAATAAGAGAGAAAGAGAGCTAGGAAAAAATACAGATTCTTAAAAAAGAAGTCACTAACTAAATCCTATATGGTCACATATGGAGAACCATTTTGAAGTAAATCCATTAGGCTCCAAGTTGATTTGGACAGTGCACCTTAATGGCTTTGGCTTTTTTTTCTCCCCTCCTTTTCTTCCTTTTTTTTTTTTTTTTGATTATCACAGAAGTTTATGAAAATCCCATTTGCCTTTACATTAAAAAACAAATGAAAAAAATTTAAATACAAGTAGAAAACATTATATTTAATTTGTAAAAAATGTGAAAAATCTACTTCATACAGCAAATAGTCACTGAAATTTTAATTAAATATTTAAATTAAGAATGCCATGCCCAAGAGGCCAGAAAGCTACGTCTCTCAAGGGCTAAAACGAGAACCAGGAGACAATCATTTTTACATTTCTAGCTCCTCTTTCTCCCACAGACTTTTCAACCAGTTATGTACCTTGGTGGCTACTGAGCTTTACTAAAATGGCTCAGAGCTGCATGTTTTATTAAGATTAGATGCAACTTGTGCTGAGAGATGTGGGATATGTTGCCGGACAATGCATAAGGGCAAATTCATCTTCATGATTACAACATTTATGATTATACTTCTTTTAAAAAATGAACTCCATACTTGAGTTGTCAGAAATTTTAGTTTAGGGTTTCCTTAGAGTAGAATTCTCTAGAACTCATTCTCTATTAGGTTTACTTTTAGTTTATAATTAGATGCAGCATGACTTTCACTTCAGAAAGAATTAGTCTTTGGAAATTAAGGTTCCACCTATCATTTTACCTCCCCTCCCCTTTCCCAAAGGTCTGACAAGAAACCCTGTGGCAACTTCATTTCACACCATGATCTAGAAGGTTCCTAACACTTCCACTGCAAAGGGCTTCTTAGTTTACTCAAACTGAACCCCCCCCCCAATCACATTGGTGCTCAGATCAAGTTACATCTCCATATAGATCAAGCACAGCATCTTTACAAAGATGACTTCTGTTTAGTCAGACCAGAGACAGTTTTATCACCTCAAACAAACATCATCTAACAATGGCTCCCACATACAAACAAAACCACAACACTTTAAATAATAAATTACTTTTTAAATATACAAGAGAAAGCTTGATATTGGCAGACATTTTGAATTTGTCCTTTAGTCCAAGCTATGGCTTGGAAATAATAATACCACTACCTTTAAAATAATTTGTGAAAGGAAAATCTACAGTGATATACATGGGGATGACTCTTGAGTTTGGATTGGTTCTGTAATGTGGTCCCAAGGCAGGTATGGTGTACAAAGTGCAGAATGGTATCCAGGCACAGCATTAATAGCTGAGGAAACTGCATCTTCAGAGATTAAATGAAAGCAAGTACCACTCAGGTCTATCTCACTGCTCATAGTACAAGGAATGAAACCTCTGGGTTAGGAGCAGTGAGCTATTTGTTGGCAATGGCCTGCAGAATCATCAGGGTTTCTGTCCACTTCTTCAAAACTTTTGGTGGTCTTCAAAAGGGTCATCCAATGGTCAGACAGCTGACACCTGTTCATTTTCTGAAAATTAAAAAAACCCACAAACAGCAGATCAGCATGTTAATGAAGATTGAGTAATAATCTAATGATCTGTTGCTGTTAGAAAATTTATCAATTTCAACAAAAAAATCCAACAGCCTATCAAGGCCCACATTTTATTGTAATGACACTTCTGATCACAACAAAGGGTGAAAAAAACCTGGAATTTCATAAATGTTTTAAATTCATTTTATTATTTTACTGTTCAAAAGGATAAAATTTCATTTATTTCTGCTGAGTGTGGTGGTACATGTCTACAATCCCAGCTACTCAGGAGACTGAGGCAGGAGGATTGCAAAATTTGAAGCCAGCCTGGGTAATATTGTGAGAAGCCTGTCTCAAAATAAAAAAGGCTGAGGATACAGTTCCTGGGTTCAATCCCCAGTACCACAAAAAAACAAACAAAAAAACTTGATTTAAGAAAGCCAATTATTTTTCAAATTATTACCACAGGTACAAAGTCAGTCAAGGATATTGCAAATAAGAGGAACTGTATTAATAACATAATTTCAGACAATTTGGCATTTGAAACATTTCCATGTGTTGATGTAAATCACAACTCTACTGATGTCAAGTGTTTCCTCTCAAAATTATCCTATTAGACTAAGTTGCTGTTCTATCACAGATAAGAATACTCCATTGGGACTCAGAAGAAAGGTACTGGGATCATAAAAAAGAGCAGCTTGCATCTCTATTTAAAAAAACAAAACAAAACATACAATCATGTTTAGGGATTTCTTATTTTTTTAGCTAGAGATTTTTAAGGTATTAAAAAAACATTAATTACCATAAAAGAGCCAGAGTAAAAATCATTTTCTATTAATTCAGCAATTCATTTAAGACCCATTAAGGTAAGTTGTCAACATACCATCTGCTTCGCTATCTGCATCAGTCACATCTGCTAGTTTAGGATGGGATGGCTCCAAATTATGCCTCTGAGACTGAGTTACAATCTTCGATGGAACACACGCCACAGGGCTGCTACTGAGAGAAGCTGGTGGCAGTCTAGAAAGGCTGTTATGCATCATCTTTGACCTTTGCACTGCCACACTATAATCTGGAGGTTTTAGGTGCAGGTGGGGTCCTTCTTTTATGTCCGCTAAAGAAATTCCCATATATCCTGGAGGAGTAGGAGGTGGCTCCCTATACCTATCATCCTTCTTGGGTGAAGTTACACAGTACACTGGCATGAAAAATAAGCAGTGGAAATGTTAATGAAAAATGTAAGAAATAACACACACACAGAAACTTATTATGACAAAAGAACTTAAAATGGATAAAATAAATTTAAATATAATGACAGCAGATTAGCTTAATAAACAATACTGAAACCTGTTTTAAAACACAGGTTACATTAAAATACAATTACGTTAAGTTTTATAAACATTCAAAGAGTGTGCTGGAGATGACAATGATAAACTTTCTTCTACAGTTTAGCACTCACATCACAGAAGTGTGAGACACATCCTGTACTAATACTAGTTCTAAAGACGACAAACATTTAAAAGTTCACCCTAAGCATCATTCTCTGTTGACTAGTCGAGTTATCAAAAGATGTTTGGGGTTGCTGGAGAGCTGTTTCACCCTTTCCTGGAGACATGAATCATTGTTCTGTGGTACTACTGGGCAGATTAGTTCTCCATCCAAGCATGTGGACAAATTTAACTTTACCCATAAAGATGAACTCATCTTTTTTTTTTTTTAGGACCTTACTTCTAACTTCTGCTTTTGGATTAAATAGAGAAGAAAAAAAAAAAAAACATAATCTTAGAAAATTTATCTTAAATTAAATTTCTCTGATTTTCAGTGGACATTAAAAATTAATGGTGACTTTAGCTAGGTGTGGTGGTGCACAACTATAATCCCAGCAGCTTAAGAGGCTGAGACAGGAGAATAGCAAGTTCAAAGCCAACCTTTGGAAAAACAATGTGAAAAGCAACTCAGTGAGACCTTGTCTCTAGGGGATGGGGATATAGCTGAGTTGGTAGAGTGCTTGCGTTGCATGCTCAAGGCCCTGGGTGCAATCCCCAACACCCACCAGCACCCCCATTGCCCCGACACACACACAAAATGAGAGCTAAACACCCAATCTATAGTGCAATTTAACAAGTGACTATAAAATAAGCACACTTTAGCAATTAAATGTGATATCATGACTATGTCATAGAATTAAGAACTGATCATGAATAATATAGATTTAACAAATAGTCATTCCACATATGTAGAAGAGCAGGGACTGTTATTCAAATATTTATATAATTCAAGGAATAAATTTTTCAAAAAATATTATTTGATGGCTAAATACACTAAGAAAGCCTAGAATGAAATTCACAAATGATTTTGTACACTAATGATATGCAAAAGGAAGGTATAATGAAAAATGTTTCAGATTGATTTCTTTCTTTTTTCATGGTGCTGAAGATTGAACCTAGGGCCTCCTGAATGCTAAGAATATGCTCTACCACTAAGCTCACTCATATTTCCCCCTCTCACTTTTACTACCTAAAAGTAACATAAGAATAAATGTTTCTACCATGTATGCCTAGCAGTTGTGGTCCAAATAATTTCTTCCCCTTATGATAAAGAGAATAATATCTTTATTACTACTGTATAGTAATGTGATGATATTCTTCAATGAACCAAAAATATCTTAAAAAATAAAACACGACAAATGTATTTCCTTAACTACATATTTTCTCACCAGACTTTTTATTTTAATGGCTTGAATATCTGCTCCAAAACTCTTGAGAAGCCATGAATTTTAGGGACAAAGAGAACGATTTTTTCCAAGAATAAAATCCTGGCCAATATATTCCACTGCCTTATTAATAATATTTTTTGCCACAATCTCTGAATACCAAGTATACAACAAAGCACACAACTTACCAATCAAGCCCTTTTCTGTGCTTGAAGTGACAGTTTTATAAACTGGGTCAGTGGCATCCTTTGGGTCCAAGCTGTCAGATGACTCAGTGGGGATGCTCTCCAATACTCTCCGTTTAACTGTCCCATAATTTGGTTCATATGTATCAGAGAGAGAACTGGAGGAGGCCCAACTTTGTCTCAACTGATTAGTCTCTAGGCTTCCCTTACACTGGCCACAAGTTCTAGAGCAGCCTTTAGGACAGGAGTAGGGCTCACAGTCACTGGGTTCCACTTCAGCAATGGGATCATCCAAATGAGTATGCCTATAGGAGTTCAAAAAGTCCAAGCTTTTTGGGTTTGGAAGGCTCTGAAAATTGTCATGGGAGCTGCTTGAACAGGAAGTCCAACTTCCACGACCACTATCAGCTGCTTCAATAACAACATGCTCATGAGAAATCTCTTCATTGCTCATAGAAGCTGAGACAGCTAAACCTTTGATTAAAGATGGTTTTGAAAGCATCCACCTGCAATTGGAGATAACACACAATTAGAAGTAATTTACTGGCTTATTGGGCAATCTTTCTTCTGTCTATTCCAAGTATAAACTCTTATAACAAACGACAGAACATACACAGCTAGAAACATACAATGAAAAAACTCAAATGCTTAGGCAAGGTTTCCTAAAAAGTTTTTAAAAATACATTTTAAGTGAAAAATGCAATGATAGGGTTTGAAATGAATAAAATTAAGCAAACCTTTTCATTCTATTTCAATATACTCTTCTCCAATGAATATAGACATAAGAATCCACAGCTTAAGAAACCATGTTTTACTTTTCAAGGTATATTTGAAGTTAGCCTATTATAGTACCAAGTAAACAGCAACTTCCCCCACAATCTATTAAATGAATCCTATCATTTTTTGGGGGAATCCTTAAACTTAGGCTGATTGGCCAAATCCAGCTAACAGCCCATTTTTTTTTTTGTATGGTCTGGAGCAAAGAACGTTTTTTTTTATATTTTAAAGGGTTTAAATAAAACCATATGCAGCCTGCTTGTCTAAAATATTTCCTATCTAGTCCTTCACAAAATATTTGTGAACCTTTGATTTATAATATGGAAAAGGGGTCAACAAACTACAGGCCAAGGTCAAACTCAGTCCTCTGCCTAGTTTTGTAAATAAAGTTTTATTGGGGGCTGGGATTGTGGCTCAGAGGAAGAGCACTTGCCTAGCATGTGTGAGGCCCTGGGTTCGATCCTCAGCACCACATAAAAATAAATAAATAAAATAAAGATATTGTGTCCAACTACAGCTAAAAAATATTTAAAAAAATAAAGTTTTATGGGAAATAGTCATGCTGATTTGCTTATGTATTGGCTACAGCTGTTTTGGTGTTAACAATAAAGGCAAAGTAGTTGTAACAGAGATCTTATGGTCTGTGACATCTAAAATATTTAGAATTTGGGGCTGGGGATGTAGTTCAGTGGTAGAGAGCTTGCCTAGTATACCTGGGGCCCTGAGTTAGACCCTAAGACAGGAAAAAACAAAACAAAAGTAACAAAAAACAAACAAGGAAAAAAAAAAAGAAAACCCTAATTTTTATAAAAATACTTACTCTATGAAATCTAGAATATACCTTAAAATAGATATTAAAGTAGATGAAGCTTAACAATAATCACTTTAAAGTTTTTTGATGCTTTATTGAAGATTTCTATTTTGCTTGATTCTAAAAAGAAATTGGAAGTTAATTTTTTTTCTCTTTCTACATTTTTTTAATTGGTGTATTATAGGTGTACATAATTGGGACTTCTTGTTACCCAGTCATACTGGAGTTAAAAATTTTTTTTAAAAATTAATCTTTGATAGCTCATTATTCTTATTCAAATCATGATATCAGAAAACAAGATTAAGGACTGATACCACTTTCCCAACCAGTCTATGATACATACAACACTGGGTGTACATGTTTTTTTTTTTTGGTACTGTGGGTTCAACCCAGGGGCATTAAACCACTGAGCCTCCATCCCCAACCTCTCCTATTCTTCCAGCTTTTTTTCAGATTTTTGAGACAGGGTCTCAGTAAGTTGTTTAGGGCCTTACTAAGTTGCTGAGGCTGGCTTTGAACCTGTCATCATCCTGCCTCAACTTCCGGAGTTGTTGGGATTACAGGTTACAGGCATGTGCCACCACACCTGGTGAGGGTGTACTTTCTATTATACAATTTTCGAGATACCTTTAAACTAACAGCCAGTTTTCTTTTTCTTCTTTTTTTTTTGGGGGGGGAAGAGAGGGGTGGTGTTGTTGGGGATCCAACCCATAGCCTTGAACATGCTACGTAGTAAGCACTCTACAATGCAAATTTACCATTGGGTTAAATCCTGAGCCCTAGTAACTTCTGTCATTTAGAAGTTACTTCAATTCAGTAACACTTTAAAAATAAGCATCCCTAGCTGGGAGGGAAGGCTAAGGCAGGAGGATGGCAAGTTTGAGGCTAGCCTCAGCAACTCAGCAAGATCCTGTCTCAAAATAAAATATAAAAAAGGGTTGGGGTGCACCTCAGGGGTAAAGTGTCCTGGAGTTCAATCTCTAGTTCCACAAAAAGAAAAATAAATCATCTATACATGTTTAAAAATGTACTTATTTCCACATTCAGCATAGAGAATATGTGCTTGACTTTCATATTCTTTTACAGAATATCTTGTGACTTTCCCACTTAGGGAAGGTACAGGGTTAAGATGGGGAATGCTGCTTAATGATTGATGGCCTCTTGGCTAAGGTTTTATAATTTGAACGTAGATAAGGATGGTTTACCCAGGACCAAGCTGAGTATGGTCTCCTATCCCTGAGGAGTGCTCTGTCTTTTCCAATGTCCCAGTGGATTCAGCGATTGCCATGGTCTGAGAACACCGTTCATCCTGTAGAGTTGTAGACATGGAGTCAACAGAACAATTGCTCACGATGCTGGACCGTGAAGAGATCTCGCTATGGCTGGAGTCCGACAAGTTGTCTGATTTAGCTGATGGTATAAGTGCATAACCTGAATGGAAAAAACAAACCAACCAAAACTCTAATCAAACTTCAAAGGAATATGAGTGGGAGTAGTCAGGGAGAGGACAAATAAAAATATAAATATATATATAGATGTAATAGTGCCCAATTTCTCCACATACTCCCCTAAATATCTGTTAACCTACTTATCCCACATCTCACCAATACTCTAAATTCAAGAGCAAAGCCAAAATCCAGCATTACTAAGAATTTGTCCAAGGGTATATCTGGCCTAGGCTCTCCCAGAGTCACAAGTATTTAATAAAACAAAAAAGCATTAAGTACATTACAAATATTAAGAAGTACACATAATAGAGTTTCTCAATTTTAGCCCTATGCCCTCTTCCTTTGATTAACACAAATATTTCCTGGCCTGATTTAAATCCAAAATACTACCTTGAGGTAAGGGTGGAAGTCAGGACTACATTTTGCTTTTTCAAACTACATATACTTACCAAAGATGTTCTGGTTATGCCACCTAAGAAGTCTTGCTCCAAGTTGAGAATCACTGTTTCAGTATTTTATTTTTTTTGTGATGCTGAGGATGAAACCCAGGAATTCCACATTCTAGGCAAAAGCTCTACTACTGAGCCATACCCCCAGTTCTGTTTCAACATCATTATTATTTTTTTCATGATTATTATTAATATTATTATTTATACTGGGGACTGAACCCAGAGGCATTCTAGCACTGAGCTATATCCACAATCCTTTTTATTTTTTGAGATAGGATCTTGCTAAGTTGCTGAGGCTAACCTTGAATTTATAATCCTCTTGACTCATCCTCCTAAATTGCTGGGATTACAGGTATGCATCACCAAGCCCAGTCCTGTTTCCATATTTTTAAAGATTGTTTTGGATTGGACTTAATTATTATATACCTACTTTCCTTTTTTTTCCATTTCTTTGAAGAATATTCAACAGCTGAATAGATAGATTTAGAAAAATATATAATGGAAAAAACAAAACAAAACAGTGACTACATGTTTTAAATTCTTCTGTGACTTACTGCATAGCAGATAGCCAGATTTTCTTTTATATTCTTTGGGTTAAAAAGGTAAGGATGGAATGAGGTAAAATCCAAAAACAAAGTTGAAAGGAAGTGACTCAACAAGGGGGCAGGTCTCTAGAAAGCAAACGGTATCTTCTTGTTCATGGAGTGAGGTTCAACAGGTATATGACCTTAGACCAATCCAACAGGATATGACCTTGGACCAATCCCTCAGGTATGTTACTAGCATTTTCAGAGCCTTAGCTTTCTTATACATACAGAGAGAAAGTCAACTACCTAAGCGCTAAGATCTTTTTCTGAATTAAAACTCTTGGGAGTTTATTCACCCATGATTGTAGTCATTCAAGAAAAAATGTGTTGTGCAATAATCACATTAATGGCCTCTTTAACTATTTCAAGGAGAAGTATCAAGTCCCAGGAAATGTACAATTAACCCATGGCTTAGGGGCCCAAGAACCAGGTTAAGTCAAGACTCCTTAGTTGCACATCTTTGATCTTGAGGATCATTGTTATTTGCTAATGCCCATAAACTGATCAATTTTCAAGAGGATCAATAAAATGGATATGGTAAATAAAATAAAAAAATAAAAAAACTTCCTTAAAAGAAAAATCATTGCTCTTTTATTCTTGGAACACACTTGACTTACTTTTAAAAAATAATTTCATCCTTGTTTGTTAGTTGTTTCTCAAATATAATGTATTTCAAGAATCACCTGGAAAGCTTACTAAGATACACATTCCCATGCCCACTTCTGGCAACTTATGAGGTCTGGGATGGGGCATAGTAATATCTTTTTTCTTTTTGGTACTGGGAATTGAATTTAGGGGCACTTCACCACTAAGCCACATCCCTAGCCCTATTTGGTATTTTATTAGACAGGGTCTCACTGAGTTAGTGCTTCACCAAATTGCTGAGGCTGGCTTGAACTTTCAATCCTCCTGCCTCCATCTCCTGAGCCACCGGATTACAGGTATACGCCACTGCACTTAGCTTATTTATACAGTTTTAAACAAGTTTCCCAAATGACTTTGAACCTACTGTTAGATCATCTCCTCCTTTCACAATCAGAGATATGTGAAAGACAGATAATACAAAAAATGGATGTGAAAAAGATTCAATTTCTTGCATCCTAAAAACATCTTTGTCCATTAGCTTATAATGCTGTAGGGAGTACTAAGATGGCAATAAAATTCTCTAAGGCAAAGAGAGATAACTATCAGATAATTAAAAAAAGATAATCAAATCAGATTTTTACCAGGGGTTTTATGGCGAAAATGAACACTAATTCCTGAAAAGCTTCTATATTTATTTCGCTCACAGACCCAGCTGTAGGAAATAAAGCCAACTACAGAAAACAAGAGTATAACATTTACTAACTCAATACATTAGTAAAATAACATGCACAAATAAGGCACTTTAAATCAAGATTACTTTGTTGTAAGAGGACCTGTAATACTAATCATAAAATGCTTATTAATAGCATCTTACTAAGTTGTCTCTCCAAGTGGCTTAATTTAAGCTACATTTACATTAATAACTGAAAACAAATTTAACACTGTAATAAGGAACTTCGTCAGAGTGTCTTCCTCCTTTTAGACTTGAATCGCGTATGGAAGCAGTTTAAAATATTACTGTTGCCTCGGCTATTTGAATTGAAGATGTCACTCCCTTTCTCATCTTTGATGTTGCTTCCAACATCCTTCACTTTCTCACAGCTGTCTGTAGCTTGATTGTGATCTGCGTCCTCTTTTTGGCTGTTGACTAGTCTCTCCCTTGAAAGAGTTCTTTCCCTAAATCTTCTAAACGGGGATGTCATTCTTTTTCTGGTTGTGTTCTCACAACTTGTCCTGTCTCTATTCTCCTCAGTGGCCTTCTTGATCCTGTCTGTTCTTTTGGCTGTGCTCCTGGTAATCTGAAGGATTTTCTTTTGCAAGTAAACCCCACCTATTCCGGGGCAGTTCTGGCCACTGATCTCGGTGCTGGACTCACAGGGAGGGGATGAGCAAGGCCCCGAGAGGCGCAGGAGGATGCTGTGATCAGATATGATACTGCCAACTGGAGGGAGAAATGCAAAAACCCTGACATGGTCAATTAATTCTTTCCAATTAATCACAATCAGTCTACTAAAAAATTTATTATCTTGACAACATCTGCAAAATGGAAATCTAGCAAAAATATTTTTAACGCATAAAAAATGTATTATATAGCATAAACACATTGATATTATAATAAGACAGAACATAGGAGAAAGATTATCTTGATCAGAACAGGCTGATGGTAACAGTGTTGAGAGTAAACCAAGGTGGTCAAATCATCAGAAAATATATGACTAGAGTAACAGGTAACCAGAACTATTTCTCAAAAGAAATTATGCCTGTCTAGAATTTTCCAGCAGATTTTACTAAGAAAAAGCTTAGTAAAAACCAAATGGAACACAAAAATAATACATATCAACACGTATATTTACAAAGCATCATTTCTGATGCTGCTGTGGCTCTAAGGTGGAGAGGTTGCCTTTCTTAAGTGCTGAGGAAGATTATATAATGCTTAAAGTCTCTTGACTTCCCTCTTTTAAAAGTGCTTACTTGTTTAACTTCTTCTTACGAAAATATAAAACAGAATTATTTTCTAAATTGTTAGAAAACAACTAATTTCAAGCCAGGCATGTAATCCCAGCTACTCAGGAGGCTGAGGTAGGAGGATCACAAGTTCAAAGCCAATCTACGTAAATTAGCGAGGATGTAGTTGAGCAGTAGAGCACCAGTGAGTTCAATCCTAGCACAAGGAAAGAAGGGGAGAAAAACAGAAAACAAATAATTCCAGAATCGAGATAAAACTAAGAACGGATCCTAATAACATATTTAGTGTAATGAATAATTGGCAAAAAACTGTCTATGGAAATATCATATTCAGTTGAGCGAGTTATTTATATGTGTGTGTACGTGCGTGCATGTGGTGTGTGTGTACTGGAGACTGAACCAAAATATTTTTTATTTTGAAACAGGGTCTTGCTAATTTGCATAGGACCTCACTAAGTTGCCGGGGCTGGCTTTGAACTTGTGATCCTCCTGCCTCAGCCTCCCTAGCTGCTGGAATTATAGGCAGGTACCACCATGCCTTCAATTTTTTTTTTTTTTTTTTTAATATTTTTTTAGTTGTCGGTGGGCACAATACCTTTATCTTTATTTATTCATATGTGGTGCTGAGGCTTGATTGAACCCAGCGCCTCATACACACTAGGCAGGTGCTCTACTGCTGAGCCACAACCCCTGTGCCTCAGTTGAGGTTTTGACAGAGCATATGTAACAACAAACTGAAATAATGCTCAAGAGAATTTCTTCAGGATTCTAAATATGATTATGACAGGTTTACAAACCTATAAATATCATAGTCAACTCTCAGCTACACACTGAAAGATAATCCAGAAAAGACCTTTCTATTTCAATGGTGAGAGTGGATTTTCTGCTGGGAATAAGGCCAATGGGGGTATTCCTGTTCCTGATATTTCTTCCCCCAAGTTATAGTCAGGCATAAAGCATATAGCTTTCTGCTTATAGAATTTTCTAGTCTGAAATGGACTTCTGAATAGCTTCCAAAAGGGATGAGGGATGAAAAATGCTCTTTCAAGGGTATTAGCACACAGGCACTGTTTATGAGGATTATTTGGCTGCAGGCGCTAATGCCAGATCTGACCAAGGCACTCTGGATGGGGCAAGGGAGAAAAGGAGATGGGATCAGGTCTATGTGCCTCAAAAAAAAAAAAAAAAAAATATCATGCATATGTCACAACAGGATGAGAAATATGTGTTTATAAACACAACTATTGTATATATGCTGCTTATATGTTCTGATTTTCATGAAGCTTTCCCTGGTAAAATCTGAATGAAAATTCTAGCCAGTTTCAGCTATGTGAGAAAGGGCAGGTGAGTAATGAAGCTATGTTGCCCTGGGTTGGCAGCAGGGAAAGAAAAGAGACACTACTTTTTAGCACATATGACTTTATAAATATTATTACCTTTAAACCTTGGAGGACACTGAAATAGATGGTCTTTCCCCTGTCTTTCAGAGAGAAAACCTGACTCTATAAATAAGTTATACACTGTAACACAGATATAGCAGGGGACAGAATCAGATTCAACTCAGATCTGACATCATTGCTACATAAGGTGGCAAAAATAAGAAAAAGCCCTGAAGAATGAGATGTAATTCAGAACATGGGAGCTGAGGCAAAGTCTGGAAGCTTCTCCCTCCTGCTAGAATTAACAAACTTGTCTCCCCCTCTGCTTATATGCCATCTTAAGCTGTAATTACTTAAAGATTCTAATTCTTGTATATCTGTAAAGATCCCAGTATTAGGGAGCTTTCTTCCAGGGTACAAACAGAGGGTACAGGGGCCAATGTAAGAAATACACACTCTATCTAGAATGCTACATATGCAGTTAACATGAAATGGAATCTCCATAGGTACAGTTCAGGCTAGCCAAGAAAAGCTCTGGTCTCAATTTCTTTTTAGTATAAAAACACATGTAAAAGAACAAGAAGGATGTCAGATTTTTTACCTCGTTAGGTTCTGTATAAGTATAAATGTAAAATCTATAAAGGTATCTGATCTAAATCTTGATTCATAAAAAGGTAATATGCTATTGCTAAAAAAAAAAAAAAAGAAGTCACCTTAAATATCTGTTTCTTTTTCTACATCTTGGTTAAAAATATTATTGTAGATATTTTTATTGGCAAATGCTCCAATAAAATGTTTTAATACTGAAAATTTAGAAAGTAATATCAAGAACTGGCACAGATCAAAAAACCTGTGACTTCTGCCTTTATTTTTATCTATGCTTGCTCTCTGTCACAGAAATTAAAACCACCCTCTGAATTCTGGAGTCCCAGTTACATGATGTATAACAATTGAAAAGTTGTTTGAATAATTCAATAAGAAATAGCAAAGTTCAAAAAGTAACTCTTAGCAGTTATACTTTTCTTTTTTTTTTAACTTGTAGTTGGTTATAATACCTTTATTGTATTTATTTATTTTTTATGTGGTGTTGAGGTTCAAACCCAGGGCCTCGCACTTGTTAGGCGAGCGCTCTACTGCTAAGCCACAACCCCAGCCCACAGTTACACTTTTCTATTATTCATTTATTTATGGACTAAAAAGCAAAATATGTGCTAGGAAGTGTTGTTCAGTTAAACAAGAACAAGCCTGAAATGTCTGTCTTACCTTTTCGAGGGGAACCTTGAGGAGATGCAGGAGGACTAGAATGTAAAGATGATGCCACAGACACAGTGTCTTCTGTATGTTTCTTACCACTTATTTCTTCGGTTGGTCCTAAAACTTTCTGAGGTAAACTTGAACCTAAGAATAAAATCAAAGAAGTGCATAAGTCCCATTTTACAATTTAAATGTCTGTAGATGCCTAATTCACTACATAACTAAAGCCATGATGCACAATGGCTAGTACAGTCAACTGAAATGTGTAAATAACAAACGAAGACTAAATGACTGGATAATGGCATACAGATAGTCTCACCTCTAGTTTATTTGTTCAAATTCAGCTGGTCATAGATCAGTTTATAATAAAAAGTTTGCTTTGTGGCAGAAGAGAAATCAATTTTTACTTATGCTTGCTCTCTGTCACAGAAGTTAAAAACCACCCTCTGAATTATGAATAAAGTGACCCACCCCTCACAATTGACACACCTGTTTGAAATCTTAAAGGGAAGACATGGATTCAAACTCTTCCCTCCCCTCTAGAGGTGGCCTCTCCAAGTCAGAGTGAGGCATTGGTCAGGGGCAGTGTAGGAATGCTGGCACTGGCACTACCTGTGGTGCATCTGTGCTGAGGGTATACAAAAGAAGCTGCAGGGCTGTCAGTCTAGCCCTTTCAAGAGCACTAAATTCACTCTCCAGGAGAGAAGTAAACAACAGAAAGAATCATGAATTCATAGAAAAATAATATGGAGCCTAGTGGAAATATTCTATCATTACCCTATCTAATAGCTAGCACTGTTTAGTGAGGGTTAAACCAAAATGCTTTCAATATACTGACAACTGACTTTTCCAATGTGGTCTTCTCTAAGAAATGTCAAAGAACTACTGACACTGTTCTTAACCAGCAGAGTAAACACAACTTTGATGAGAATATGGCCCAGTAACAAGCAGCTTTTGACAATGAAAACACTTTAATCACACTATATCCTTACTACTTGAATATAGTTTTAATATACAATATATTTAATCCATAAATACCAGCCATATTATTGGGGAGGGAATGAGAGGGAGGGGACATACCCAGTATACATAGTGCTGTCTCTCAGGTGCTAATATCCAAGTTAAACAATGAAAGCAAAATTTGTCCCTCCCTTTCCCTTACCAAATTTATCAGTTTTGCATCCAATTCTTTTTATTCCTGCAGCCACTAAACTAGTCTAGGTCCTGAGCAATTTCCAGTAAAATGTTACATCAGCTATCCATTCAGGCTTTCTACCTCAGATCTTGCTGCATTCTCTACTATAGTCTATTCTCATCATAATTTGTACTATAACTTTCCCGTGTTCAAATTTCTTTAATGGCTTCTCAATCACAACTTGCCTTTAGCATAGCAAATTATAATTTTGACACATTAATGAGTTTGATTCTCAGTAAGAATAAAATACTACCTTTCTTATAGGTTATTATAAAGAATAAATGAATGTATGGTCAGTAAAGCACTGTGAACTGTGCCTCAAACTCCCTAAATGCTAACTGTCAACTTTAGTTACTATTTTCTTTCAATACTCTGCATGAAATTTGCAGCCAGTCAGCAAAGCACTTGTAGCTCCTTGCAGACACTAAGCTGTTTCCTTTGCTTGAAGCAACTTTTCTGAAACCTTCCCCTAATTACTTCCTTCCTCATCAATGTCTTGAGGTTCTGCTTAAATCTTATCTCCAAAAAGCTTTCTTTTGAAGCCCCGCCTTTTCACTCCTGCTAAAGGTGCCTCTTATTTTTCCTTTTATATGTTCTGTATTTACCTCCTGGCATAACAATAAACAAATACTGAAGTATCTGGGAGTCTCTATATAAACCAGACTGAAAATCTGGCATGGGAGGGGGCATTTCTTTTTTTATTTTCAACTTTGTAACTCAAATAAAATGAAATTAAATTCACAAACTTCTATTTAATATGTATTATATATAATGTCTAGATATAAGTAATAATTTTAGGAATCAAATTTAATGTAGCTTCCCACCTAAAAGCTGAAATAGCGATAAACAATAAAAAAGTAATTTGGATAATGTCTACATGGCCTAAAAATGGCAAAGAAATGTGGAAATTATACAAATATATATTTATACACACACACACACACACACACACACACACATAGATTTTTTTTTTCTTCTTCTTTCTTTTCCTCTTCTGTTTCTTTGTTACCAGGGACTGAACCCAAGGTCACTTAACAATTGACTACATCCCCAGCCCTTTTTATTTTGAGATAGGGTTTCACTAAGTTGCTGAGGCTGGCCTTCAACTTTTAATCCTTCAGCCTGATGCTCTGGAGTCACTGGCATTACAGGTATGTGCCACTGTGTCTGGCTGGCTGTCACAGTTTTTGTAGGTTACACCTGTAGCTGGTATTTTATTAAATACATCTTTTAATGCAGTAAGCCTTTGATGTATTGCCCAGGGTTTGATGCAAATACTCAAGATATATTACTATAAGTTTTTTTGGGGTGATTTTAGTTTTATAGGAATTCCAAGGCCAGCATTTAAAACATGTATACTGGGGCTGGGGTTGTAATTCAGTGGTAGATTACTTGCTCCTCATGTGTAAGGCACTGGGGCAAAAATAAAGGTATTGTGTCCATCTACAACTAAACAAAAACAAAAACAAAACCTAAGTATGCTATCATCAAATATCTCTAGGGAAAAATCAAACAGAATATACTTAAACTGGTATTCTTTTTATCCTTTTAATTGATTCATTAAGAGATGATATTACACAACTTACAATAGCTCATCTTCTGAGCATTTGTAATTGTCACTTTAATCCCCCTGGAATTTAATTAAATGAATATAATACTAATTGTGAATACTTACTCAATGTAGGGTCTCTTGCTTGTCCCTTCTTCCTGATGGGGTGCAAATTAACAGCTGGTACCTGAAGAACCTGGCTTACTCTGTGGGACTGATGTAAATGGGCTTTAGCTGTTTGGCCAGCTGACCTCAGAGGCACTGGAGACATTTCAGATGACTTGGCAGATCTTTTCTCACTTAAATTCTTGGTCACTATAGGAGAGGAAAAAAAAAAAAAAAGGTAAGTGAACTTCTTTTTTAGGCAAGGATATTATTACCACAGGCAACAATAAGTGGCCTATTAAATACCACTAATTTTTAGCACAAAAATAAAATGTTTTAAACTACCTTTCATAAATTTCTTGACTTCAAGCCATTCTCCATACAATGGCAAAATGTTTCAACCAAATGAAAATCTGATCATATCACTTTCTTTCTCCATATGTCCCTGTATACAACTTTATATGCCTTCTCACTGTTCACAGGATAAAGGCCCAAAGCCTTACAACATGGCCTTAAAAGACCCTGCATGATTTAGCCACCCACCCTCTTTAACTGTGTGCCTTTCTTTTCCTCAGCCCTATACTCTCTAGATTCCTATTAAAATAAATTATTTAGTTTTCTAGACTGGAAAACTCCCTTCCACTATGTAACACTTGGTGCATCTTTCAGATGAAGATGCACTTGCTCAAAAACCCAGGGAACTTCGACTTAAGAAATGAAAGAGCTGCTCCTTTGCATATAATCAATACCATAGTCTAAAGGATATTCTTTCTTCAGGCAGTGCTTCTATTTATTTATTTATTTACTTATTTTGTAGTGCTAGGGAATGAACCCAGAGCCTTATGCATGCCAGGAAAGCACTTTATCACTAAGCTATATCCCTAGCCCCATGCAGTACTTTTAATCCTTCACTCAGTTATTCAGGATGGTTTTATGTAGGTAGGTATAACCTTAGTACTTCATAATATGTTTGCTTTAAATATCAGGATAAAAGCAAATAGATGTTTAAAATGTCCCAGCATGGATGTAATAGTTAGTAATTATGCTTTTATTATGAGAGCCTAGTGAATATTTTGGGTGATAAACATCAGGGAACATGGCAGAAAGCTAAAACACAGGGACTCCTGGGGACAATAAACACTGGCTCATCAACGAATTGATCCTAAAATGTAATTTTTGAGTTAGAGCTTTGAAACACATTCTACCTTTCTCTCAACACTATATCAGTTCTTGATTTCACTAACATACATGGTTTGTTATTTATACTTAATTTTTAAAAGGTCAGCATTAAGTGGGAAATCAAATTCCTTATATGTATAATTTTTTTTCAAAAGGAACCAAAACACTATGTATAATAATAATAATAATAAAATTTTTAAAAAAATTCAGCATAGGGCTCTGTGGCAGAATACCTGTTTGTTAAGCATGCCAGCATGGTTGGCAGGAAGGGGTTGTTCAATATTGAGGACAGAATCTCTTTTTCCATTGTATTTTCTAGATATTATCAGAATATGCCTGGCTTTTTCTTGTTTTACCTGACACCTTCCAAACTCTATTATCTCTAATGTTTGAATCAGATTTCTTATATTTTCTAATTGACAAATTATATAATTATAATACCCATTAAATAAAAAGTAAAAATTTCACCCTTCATTTTAAGCTCAATGCAAAAATGTTCTCAAACAAAAAGACTCTTCTGTAAGGCTCCAAGTTTTACAAGATGTCTTTATAAAGCTGCTTTTCTTTTTTTGGTACTGTGAATTAGACTCAGGAGAATTTAATCACTGAGCTACATCCTCATTCCCTCACCTCCTTTTAAAGTAATTTTGAGACAGTGTCTCACTAAGTGGCTAAGGCTGGCCTTAAATTTGCAATCCTTTTGCCTCAGCTCCTAAATTGCTGGGATTACAGGTGTGTGGCACTATGCCCTGCTTTATAAAGCTTCTTAAAGAATAACAAATTATCCCTCTCTTTCTTGCATATCAGGGATGAATAAGATTCTGGATCTGATTAACAGAATTACATGATGTTTAGGGTATGTCAGTACAAAGTTAATTTTCCTGGAACTTCAGCATAATTCTGGGGAACCAACTATCTATTTTGTTATCCTCTGTGGTATCACATAAATGAAAACTTGTACTCACAGGTACCATATCCAGGCTCCCACTGCAATGACATCATCTGGAACTTCTCCTCATCTGTCTCTACATCAAGACTAGAAAGATACTGCTTTACTTTCCTTGCCATTTGGGCATCCTCATACAGCTTCTTGGCATTGAGCAGAGAGCTGCGGCGTGTCCTTTTTTTGTGAGCACCTCCCTGAACATCCAGCATGTTTGAATTTGTGCTGCCTTGACTGAGTGACCTGTAAGAGGATAGAAATCAAAATAAGGGGTGGTAAAGATGAGAATTAAGCACAGAAGATTAAAAGATTTTGCTCTGTTAATGCTATTGCATGCTGACATAAATGAGTTAAAAGATGAAGAGCATTAATGCAAAGTAATTTGGCACATATGGCGATTTTCTGAATAAAGAATAAGATTTGATAAAATGCAAATTTCAAAAGAATAAGATACCAACTCCTCCCTACGAAATATATTCTATCAGACCTGTGTTTGTGCCTATGTAACCATGGTACAACTGTGACAAGAAAAAGCATTCCTTTGGCCCTAGAAGCCATCCACACTCTGGAGATATGGCAAGAGTCATACAAGACTATCATCTATCAGATATCTGCATGAAGGTTCTCCCATAAGGAAGTTTCTAGAGCAGTTTTGCTCATCTGTGCTACTTTGGACACACGGACATGCTATTACAATCACCATTCCTGTCTAGAACAGGATTACTTTGGGCATGCTGTCCAATTTTACTAGTAAGATATTAGCTGAAAATAACAGCATTTTATTCAATTCAGAATAGAGATCAGAAATGTAAAAAAATTTTCAATATTTCCTCTCATATATGGAATAGTTAGTCAATATTTGGGTTTAAGGAAGGGGAATCTGAAATTAACTTTTGTAATGCTGCTAAATGTGATGGAACTGCAAGTTGAGTAAAAACAACTACAATTCAAATAACCTGCACTTTCACCCAACTCGACTGTTTGTCAAGCATCCTTTAACAAGACTAGCAAAAACAAGGTTCTTGAATGATTTTTATTTAAAAGCAGCTGCTGTTCTAAATCAAGAATACCCATTCATTTTCTAAATTTGCCTCATATTTACATATAAGTATTCTAAATACACAGATCACAACCATACAACAATTTGTTCTTTAGTGCTCACATACTTAAATTAGGTGAAACAACTAAAATAGTGTTATGGCATTTTTAAAAAAATCACATTTTAAGATCTCTTGAAATAGGGGTATATTAAGATTTGATGACAACTTACAATTGCTGCTGGTTAGGCAGAAACTGTTGATGTAGTCATCACTACTTTAAAGTGATACTACTTAAAGTGATGCAGAAACCTTAAAACTTGCAGAATGATTTGGAAGAGAGCATATTGATATGAGTAAATTACCATTTCAGATTCCAGGGAGCAAATGATTATAAAGAGAGTAAATTTGACAATTTCAATAACATTCCCACAGGTGTCAAAAGGTGGCTAGCTCTAATTACTTGCAAAGCCAGCCTCAGAACCCAATATCAGGAGCTTGCATTATGCCATATTTTTAAGATGGTGGATTATCAATACACTGGATGGCACAGAAGACAAGACTGTGTGCATTTGAGTCTCTGTATACTGCAGAAAACCCAGAAACTAATGACTCTAAAAGTGTTTAAGAAGATTCACGTTCTGAATATGAAGAAATTTTATAAAGATCTAAACCAATTTATTTTGCTTGTTTTCCTTTTTATATATACACAATAAGGTTAATGTAATAAAAATTCAAACCTAAGTTCACAGACTTATGAGAGATCTTTCAATAGCATGAAGCAAAATTTTGGTAACAGGATAAAGCAGTGAGCTAGGGATTGGGGGATTGGCAGCACAGGGGGATTGAATCCAGGGACACTTGACCACTAAGCTATATCCCCAGCCCTTTTTATTTTGAGACAGAGTCATAAGTTGTCTAGGGTGGTCTTGAACTTGTGATCTTCCTGCCTCAGCCTTCTGAGTAGTTGGGATGACAGGCATATGCTACCACACTTGACCACTGCAATGATTTTCTTGTCAACTGATAAAACTTTGGATTCAAAGAAATGAAGTAAAATTCAGTCCTAAAATTTAGTAACAAGTTTCAATATACTAATATTTAATAATTTTAAAAGAAAGAGAGGGTAGATAAAAATTTAGGATAGATAAAAAAATTTTTTTTTTTCTTTTGTGGAACGGGGTATTAAACCCAGGGTCTCGCACATGCTAAGCAAGCACTCTAGCAATGAGCCAAATTCTCCATCCTTTTAAAAACTATTTTAAGACAGGGTCTTGTCAGGTTGCCCAGGCTGGCCTCAAACTTGTGATCCTTCTGTTGCAACCTCCTAAAGTAGTTGGGATTATAGGAGTGCACCACTATGCCTGGCAGTATAGATAACAAAATTCTAAAAAAGAAAACACTGTAATAAATGACAGTGTCTTCCACACTATTTCCAAAACAGGAAATACTGATGTAAAATGAAAATATCTGTTTGTAAGCATCAACTATCATACAATACAAATCCTAAAACTGAATAAAAAGTGAATGTATTAAATCATTAATCACCTCAAAAAGCCACTATGATTGTCCAAGTATTATTCTTTAAAATATTAATATCGGGTTAGAAGAGACAGAAAAGACTAAGACATAAATGTATGATATGGAAGAAATACACAAGAAACACAGAAAAGGAAGGAAGGAAGGAATGAAGTACAGGAAAGCCAAATTTGCTAAGCTTTAACAGAAAACAAAACCACAAATAAGACACAATACTGAAGAAAATGGCTCACAAAATAATTCTTCTTACATGTAATAAAAAATCTAACTTCTTGGTTCACTAGTATTAAGAAAATTCTTCTTATATAATTCTTTCACCCATAAAAGTCATCTCTCTTTTCATCTAAAAATGAAAGGACTAAGTGCATGATATATAAAAACTTTAACAATTTACGATTCTAAACGAATATCTACATATGTAGAAGCATAAAAAACAAAAAACAAAAGGTGTTTTTTATTCTAACAGTTTTACAGAGAGTTAAGAAAGTCTTTTAGCAAAACTGGTAGAAATTTAAAATGATTTTCAATCAGTGTTGGAAATCTCAGGTGTAAATGGCTTGGAAGAATTAAAATCAGGTTCTAGTTTTATTGCATAATATAGCTTGAATAAAGATTGCCTCTTTTTGGAAAAGTGATGAAAAATGCAACCTTCACAAACAGTTCTCATCCACTTTTATACCACTGACATGATATGTTTACTTTAAAAAAATACTTATATTTTACTTTTAGGTGGACACAATGTCTTTATTTTTTATTTTTATATGGTGTTGAGGATCGAACCCAGCGCCCCGTGCATGCCAGGCAAGCGTGATACTGCTTGAGCCACATCCCCAGCCCCAAATGTTTACTTTTATAAAATAAAATATGATAATGAAGAAAAAATGTGGTGTGGAGTCAGAATGCCTAGGTTTGGATTCACTATCAATGAGCTATAAAACTGGGCAATTCCATCTTCCTCATCTATACCATAGGAATAACATCTACTCAAAGGATGATAGGAGAATTAAACAGCTAATTCATTTAGAAAACTTAGAACAACGTGTGGCACATGGGAAATATATAACAAATATTCACTACCATCCTTGTCTTTATCATCATCTATGAGATCCTGCTAAATTAAAAAAAATTAAAATGGGCTTATAGAACATCAATAATGGAAAAGTAAAATCAGTAAACAAATACATAAAAAAAAATACAAAAAAACCCTAAAAAGTTCTATCACTACGTTCACCTTGTTAGCAAAAGGCATTTGTCAGGAATGTAGGTTGACAGAGTTAATAGAACACATGCTGTTTTATATGCGTGCATTAATGAAAGGGATGCATTATATGTTAAGAGTTGTACAACCTTCATTCCAGTTGTGTTCATCTCTACACTTACCCCAGACTCCGCCACCTCTTCTTCCTGTAAGCAAGAGCCACAAACATTGAAGCATGTGTTTGAACAGGAAAGCACAGAAACAGACAACAGTTGAAAGTCAGAAAAACTATGTAGACAGGGTAGAATGGAAATATTTAACCAGGAAAAAACTGTAGCTTAATGGTAAAATGACTTTAAGGAAATGCAAGGGTTTGAGTTATGATACGTCCAGAAGGCCAAAAGAAACCCCATGATGGATTTAAAAAAAAATATTTATTTTTTAGTTTTAGGTAGACACAATATATTTTGTTTTTATGTGGTGCTGAGAATCGAACCCAGTGCCTCACACATGCTACGTGAGCGTGCTACCACTTGAGCCACATCCCCAGCCCCCCCATGATAGATTTTTAAAAAACAACTTAGTATATGTGTATGTATGTATTTTGGTACTGGGGACTGAACACAGGGGTGCTTTATCACTTAGTTACAACCTCAGTCCTTTTTATTTTTTATTTTGAGACAGGGCCTCACTGAGGGTGAGGGTCTTAATAAATTCATGTAGCAGTTTATTATAAGAAGCTTAAATGAAAATACTTACTATAAATTTTGAGTTAAAAGTTTTTAAGGAAAAAATCTTGAAGTATAAAATTTGTGAATGTGATTTTGAAAATATTTTTAAGCCATTCATTAAGTGACAGAATGAAACTACAAGGAATATTAACAAACAATTCTTTTCTATGTACAGAAATTTCTCTGATGAAGTATTTTATAAGAAATTGTAAAGAACAGTTGGCCAACAAATCCAACTTAAAATATAAGTAAAAATGTATCAGTGAAATCTTACCATATTGTATATCTTTATGCTATTGTTCAAATAAAGACAGTGTTTTTTTAAATTCAGCAAACTGATGATTACTACTGACAGACAAATAAAACCGATTCAGGAAAAATTCAGTCCAATGTTTACAGTGATATTTTCCCTCATTTCTTATTCTACTCAACCCAGGCTATCCCCACCCCCACCTCAAACAGCCAGGTTTATTAATTTTCACATCAGTTTTTTCCCCCTCTTTGCCCATTTCTGAGGCACAGATGGTAGTTGGTATATTATCAACTGGTCTGGCAGGGACACAAATTCATTACATAGTCAGGGACCAGAGTGGTAACATATGAGTGAATGGAGTTCCATATAAGACAATAGGGAATGTGAAGACCACTGTACAAGGACATGCAACAAAAATAAAAACAAGCGAACAAGCCCTCCTCCAGGTTTGCTTTGGTTCCTGGTTCTTATTGTTTTCTGCTATCACATTGTTGAGCAATGACATCTCTTATATGTATTGGTCTCAAGTGGCAGAAAAGGGATGGAAATTGGGAAGAGGAGATTAGGCACACTCATTCCTCCTCCACATATTGAGGATCTCTAAATTAGAGAAACCATCAGATTAACTACTCACAAAAACAGACTCCTGAACAGTGATGTGAATAAGCAAAAAAACAATCATGACACACACTGGTTTGTTGGGTTACATAAACTCCAAATGTTTTTTTTCTTTTTCTTTTGGGGATTGAACTTAGGGAACTCTACCCCTGATATACCAGGGGTAGAGTTCCCTAAGTTATATATATCTATATATCAGGGGTAGAGTTTTTAAAATTTTTAAATTTTGAGATAGGGTCTTGCTAAGTTGCTCAGGCTAGCCCTGAACTTGAAATCCTTCTGTTTAGCCTCCCAATTAGTTAAGATGATAGGTGTGCACTATGGCACCTGGCTTTTCAACTCTGGTTTTTAAAGTACCAAGCATTTTTGTTTCCTTAGCAGAATATATATTTTTTAAATATTAGGAATTAGTTGGCATCTGTAAATTATTCCATTTTCTAATGCTCTAAACACAGAAAAGAAAATCAGACCAAAAATTAAAACTGTAATGTCTACTTATACCCTGAAAATTATAAAAATTACTAGGAGCAGCTTAACAAAGTACTTTCTATAAACTACATAGCAATTCGAAGAAGCCTTTGTTATTACATTAAAAATGAATTTAAAATGCATTCATAGAAGATCAGATAATAAAGAATATAAATATTTTCCATTTTTAATAAAGATGAAGAATGATTAAATTTGCACTTTCTAAATTATGTTAAAGGATGTACATACAAATAAAAAACGGCATTATTAACCTGAACAAAGGAACGTATGTTTTTTAAAAAAATATAAACAATTACTTTTAAAAATATTCAGTAAAAAAAGAGATAATTAATACATTACAGATTAGGTTTGAAACTATTCATCCTGTATGATAATTTCAGTGAAGATCAACAATGCGTTTGCTTATATTTAAAAAAAATTACAACAATGTAGAACTATCCATATATTCAAAAAAGAGAGAAACTAGGGGTTTAAATTTTAGCAAATTACATAAAAACTGCTTTGAGCTTTACATTCCTCAGATATGAAAGCAAGGCTAATACCACCTACCTGTTAGGGTTACTGTGATAAACAATTACTTGAGATTGGCACTTGTAAAGAACTTAGTGCAGTGCACAAGAAATGATAAATATTATGATCATTATTATTATCACCCTTGATGCTACCCAATAACACTTCACATTTCTGTGTTATACCTCTGTCGAAACATCATAGCTGGGTCCATATTAGCAGAAGTCATTCGAACAACTTGACGAATTTCCTTGGCAATCATTCTTAGCTTCTCGAAGTTTACTAAACCATCTACTTTGGAGTCATTTCCTATAGAATAAAAGTAATTTTTTTTATATCAAAGTAGCAAAAGTCAAACTGTTACTCTTGGAGAGTACAAATAAGAGCCTTCTTTATAAAGTATATATCTGTGGATGGCTCAATCACAATTACATGGAATGTACTACTGGGAGGAATTGTGTTCCCTATGGGAATAATGATTATGCTTATTAAATACATGATGAACTGTCCCTGGCTACTAAAACCACATTCAATTATTTTACAAGACCCATAAAATATGCAGTCATTCAAATCTGTATCTCCACATGCTTGCTTTGCTCATTTGCTTTTTTGGACATCAAGGACATAGCTTGAAAACTTAGGCTTTAGTCAGAGGGCACAAGGTCACCTTGGGCTTAATTAACTAAGCCTATAAGTTTTCTTTGGTTTACAATGTTTTGAAAATTGTTTAATGAATTATAATCCTTAAAAAAGACATCCCAAAGGAATGTGAGATGGGAGATTACATGATGTTGGGTTTGTTTTCCCAAGTAGCAATACTTAAAACAAAGAAAGGTATATGCTTTTCAGTCTGGCATCCAACTTTCCTTTCCCAGAACATGATTTATAATCATGAACTCAAATTTCCCTGCTCATAATTTTCATTATTTTTGTTTTGCTTACTAGTTCTCTGAGGAAAAATGTATCTGATTTAAAAAATAATCTACTTTTCTCTGAAGAGATTAAATTATGAGACAAGACATAGTTCATTTACTGTCTTATCTAACTTGTAGTGAGAGGCAAAAACAATGCTCAAAGGGTAATCTTTCTGCTCACAGTGGTTCTTTTTTTTCTTTAAAAAAATCTGTCTTTAACAATGTAACCCCATTTTTCTCCCATGGAAATCCCTGAGGTGCTGCTGTGTAACTACATAGGTGTGGAACTCATCACAGTAAAGAGCACTTAATACATTAAAAAGATGAATTTTCAGGGTCTCAAAAAGAGTTGGTAACCAAATAATCATCAAAAACTCTCAAGTTACATAAATCTGAGGGAAAATGTCCAAAGAAGGATGTTAGAAGCCTATGGCACTTTTGATTTTTTTAAATGATAAAAGAGTGATGAATTTAGGCAGTTTAGAACAACCTTACTATTGAGAACAATTAGAAAGTTGGACAAATAGAAAAACTATCTGAATGTTAAGAAGGCAGTGAAGATCTGCAGAGTATTGCATTTGCCAGTGCTTGCTCCTAAATGTACTTGCTGATTTTAGAAGAGGGGGATGATGAGAAGAACAACAAACACACAAACAAACAAAAACAATAACCAAAAATAAAATTAAAAAAAAAAAAACCGAGTAGAGTCACCCTGCTTTTTGAGGTAAGATAGAAGCAACTAAGTCCAGTTAAACCTCCAATATTTTGAGTTAGAATTCAGAAAAAGTCCTATATCCTGGGATGGAGGATGAACCAAATGTAGACTGAAATAATAGTCTGGTGTTGAATTCTCTCTAAATCTGAAAATGGATAAAACACTGAATTTAGCTGTGCAGACTTAATCCTCTTTGAAGGAATGAAACATTGTTCAAAACCCTCAGATTTTGGGAGATTTTAAAAAATTCTATATCTATATTGTTTTTAAAAAACAAAACAAAACACCCCCCACAAAACAACAACAACAACAACAAAACAAATAAAAAAACACATGGTACATTAGGAGAAAAAAATAACATGATTGAGTGAAAGAAGAAAAAGACACCAGAAAAAAGACCCACAGGGATCCAGACTGTAGAGCAATCAGAAACAAACTAACTCAAAAAAAAAAAAAAAAAAGGCAAGAGAAATTGTAAAACTAGAACATACTGAATCAAACCCCAGAAACCTGAATTAGGAAATCTATGAGGGATTAAACACAGTTGAAGAGAGAAGAAACTGGAAAACAGGGTGAAAGAAAATATTTAGAATGGGGCACGGTGAGAAACAAAACAAAACAAACACACAGATAAAAGAGTATAAGATAATAGGGGAACAAAGATCAGGTTTAAAACAGGTAAAATCAGAGTTTCTAATAAAAAGACAAGAAAAGAGCAAATAAAACATATGAAGACAGTGTTACAGAGAATTTTTCTGAAACTGAGGAAAAATACCAAACCATATATTTCAATGTGTCCTATAAACACCAGTGAGAATTAAAGACAATGAAATGTTATTTTAAAATGTTGAAAGATGGTAGCTGCCAAAGATACAGTTCTGAAAATTTTAGATAAACAAAAATTAAAAGATTTCCATCACAAAAGACTTGTACCTAAGGGAATGTTAAAAAGTGTTCTACAGGCCAAATACAAACAAAAACTAACCAGACAAAAAGTACCCCAAACAAACAACAAAAAAAGAACACCTAACCATATGAAAACTTTGAGACAGGTGAGGTTAAATAAATAATGACTTTACTAAATTAAAGTTACATTATGGGATTTAAAGGCATGGTAACAACTGTATAATACTGGAAATCAAGTAAATGAAATGTAAGTGGTTTATGCTCCTTGTGTTGTCTGACACACTAACAGTACTAATACACCCTAATAGTACTGTCTATTTAATTAATGTTTGTTAGGTTGGTGGTGGCGATTTAGTTGGCAACTTAGAACAAAGCAGATGCCTTCGGAAACGCATATCAAAAAGCCAGATCTCCTGACTAACGCCTGTCAATCAACAGGACCCCCATGGCCAATCTTGGAGTTCAGCCAACTCCCCTGACCAACTTCAAGGGGGCAAGGGACCCTAGAAACACCTTTTCCTGTCCCAAGCCCTGCCCTTCCTGCTGTAAGCCCCATAAAAGTCCAGTCCGGTCGAGCTTCCACTCGGTTTCTCCTCAGACCCTTCTCCTGACCCCTCTGTGGGTCTGATGGGAGTTCTGCCCGGGAATTATATCTCAATAAAGCCTGTTCAGCGGCCCTTTTAAATCTGTCTCCTTTGGCCATTGCCTGCCCTGACTGATCTGACAATGTTAACAAATATATAAAGTACAACATCTAGTATATAACATTAGAAAAATAACAAAATAGTGAATAGTTACCAAGTTAACAAAGTAGAAAAAAATACCATTACCATGCAAAAATTGATGTAGATAGATTATAAATAAGCTATCCATGGTAAAGGATCAATAAATCAGGCTTTTAAAATGATGAACTTTCAATGTTCATCAAAAGGAAAGGCAAGCCATATCATACCCAGGATATACAAAAAATTCTTAGAAAAATATAAAACAAAAGGACAATCTAGCCAGGCATGGTGGTGTACAGCTGTTAATCCCAGCTATTTGGGGGACTCAGGAGGATAACTTAAAATTTTTAAAAAAGCTGGAAGGAAAAATATTACTGAAAAAAATATGATCAAAGAGTTTAATCTTGGTATATTAAGTATACATTTTTAATGCATGTAGTAAAAACTTCAATATTCGTTCTTAACAAAGTGGATTTTAGATGCCTAAAATTTATTGTATTTAACTGTGTAAATAGGCTTTAGTAAATTATATTCTTTTTATTTTTTTGGTACCAGAGATTTCACTCAGAGGTGCTTAACCTCTAAGCCATGTTCCCAGCCCTTTATAAAATTTTATTTAGAGACATGGTCTTGCTGAGTTGCTTGGGGCCTCTCTATATTGTTGAGGCTGGCTTTGAACTTATAATCCTCCCACCTCAATCTCCTGAGCTGCTGGGATTACAGGTGTGCGCCAGAGTCTGGGCAGTAACTTACACTCATTAAGATGGAATATATAATAAACCATTACTGTAGAATTAACTGAAGCTAAAACATGCTGATTTTCAAGTAATTTTTATAAATACCTTCATGTAGAAATGTCATATCCTTCTTGACAACAGGGAACAGTGGGATAATTGGAGGCTGCATACTTTGACTACTAAGAATATTTCTATATTTTGCCATGTTTCTAGATGGATCAAAAAGGTCTTGTAGATCTTGGAGATGTTTCTCATATTTGCTTGGTAACTTTTCCCAAGTACCTCTGAGTCGTGCTACAGGTGCCAAGTTCAAGCCACTGCCAAAGATGACAATAAAAACATTAAAAAAGGACTTAGGGGAAGAGGGTAGACTCAGGTCAGAAAAGTATATATATATATATATACCAAGTGTTTTAATACTGCTCAAAAGATAAGGAACCTATTTTTTCTCTCTCTCTCTTTTTTTTTTGTGCTAGGGATTGAGCCCAGGGCCTTATATATATGTGAGGCAAGCACTCTATCACCTGAGCTATATTCCCAGCCCAGAAACTACTTAATACACTGAAATAAACAGAAAAGAATTACTTAAAAATTAAATAAAAGGGACTTCCTTATCTTAAAACATGGAGAATGTCTTTTGAAGGGATATATTTTACTTGCTTATAGATGTACACACATAGCTTTATTTTACAGTTTGCATGCAAGTGTCAACTATAGTAATTTCATAAACAATAAAACTTCAAACATCACAATGTTGTTCATTTTACACAGACATAACTTTACAAAAACCGCCTATTTGAGTGATTTAAGAAATGCTTGAAACAATTGTTCAACTGTGGTAGCATTTTTTTTTTCTGAGATTTTTTTCATCTATGTCCCTAATTTTAAAGCTTATAGGTTCTAATCTTGTCCCCTAAGCCTCTTAAATATTTAATGTTTCTATTCCATAGGACTTATATTATAAGTTCAGATATTCCGTAACTTGAAGATATTCATGCCCACTGAGTTGCAATTCTTCCCTATTTCTTTACCTTTATACTACCGTGATATTGGTAAGTTTATCAAATGAACAGTGTGTGTGTGTGTGTGCGCGCGTGCGCGTGCGCGTGCGCGCATTGTGTATATATATAAACAAACTGTATGCCTCAATTTTCTTATTAGTTAATCCTTATTTGACTTTTACCCAAACCACATTAAAATGTTCTCTTGACTTCTGATTTTAAGGTGTGAAGTTAAGACATCTTTGTTCCTTTGTTTCTTCAAAACTGCCCCCAAACAATTATAAGAAGAATGAATAAGATAACAGAAATGCAAATTTAAGGAAACTAAGAGATAGAAATCTAACTCCTAAACTCATTAGAATGCTTGCTCCAAAATAGGCAAGGTCAAATGAGTATATGAAAAGATGCTGAAAATAATTTCTATAGCTAAAGATGGAATGAAAGGGGGCAAAAGCCAGGTGTGGCGGCACACTTCTATTTAAGTAACTCAGGAGGCTGAGGGAGAAAGATCCCAAGTTCAAGGCCAGTCTGGCAACTTAGCAAGATCCAGTTCTCAAATAAAAAGGGCTGGGGGAATGTAGCTTAGTAGTAAAGTGCAGATGGGCTCAATTCCCAGTAGAAGGAAAGAAAGGAAAGAAAGGAAAGAAAAGAAGAAAGGAAAAAAGGAAAAAAAGAAGAAAGGAAGAAAGGAAGAAAGAAAGGAAGAAAGAAAGAAAGAAAGAAAACAAGCAAGCTAGCTAGTTGTCAAGCAGAGTTCTCCATAGCAGGTTAACTCCTTTTTAGGTCAAAACCAATAATCCCTTATTTGGAACAATAAAAAGGTTTAGGTTAATGGGGTTAGGCAGGGCAGGACATACTTCTTTATCATGGAATATCAGGGAAATAAGATCAAATCAATGAACAGTGATACATTTTGGTAGGAAACTCTGTAACAGGATAGAAGAGAGAAAACTCTCTGAGTTGGAAGAAGCCCTAAAACTTCCAATCTCCCTTTGCTGTGAAAAATTAAAGGGTAAAACAATTCACATATAGGGTCTACTCCCGTTTCTCTCCCACATGAACCTCTTGTAAAAACAGTACTGGAAAAACTCTTTTGTCATTCAAAAGGAATGAACAAATACAGCATCTTTAACAAAGTATTCACAAAGAAAAACAAAGAGTACAAGGCAGAATAATGTTGTCAACAATGAAAAACTGGAACTAACCAGTAACCTGTTGTGATATGAAGTAAACCAATAAAATAAACAAAGAGCTTAATGCAATGAAATCAGAGCTTAGAGAAAATATAAGAGAAGTTGATTTAAAAATTGACTAGTAAAGTTCATGAGCAACATGGAAGGAAAGAAAAAACATGGAAATGAGGGCTGCACTGGAACCTTTGAAAGATATAGATACTGCTAAACCACTGTGCAAATGTCATGAGCAAAAGGATTAACAAAATCAACCAAAGAACATGGACAGACTTGACAGGGACTGGAGAGAAAATGATGAATATGTACAATAAAGGATATATAAAATTCATAGAATTGGTATTTCTGAAGAATAGGAAAAAATTGAACTGAAAAAAAATTAGGAGGTATAATTTGAGGAAAATTTCCAGAAATAAAGGAAGATTTGAATCTACAAATTGAACAGGTGCCAGAGTCTTGTAAAACTATATATATTAACATCTATGTAAATAACTTCAGAGAAATAGGAAGAATCTGGGAGTGTAGGAGAGAAGAGAAAGTAAAGCAAATCTTATGAACTAAATAGCCACATAAAATATCAGTTCAAGAGCCACTTTTTATAAAGTCCCCAAGAAATGATATATGAAACAATAGCCAAACTGTCAGTCATGTTGAATTGCAACAAAAAGATACTTTGAATATGCTCAGGAAATATAATTTCCACAAGTCCTTCTTCAAGTAATGAACAGAAAACAAACTTCAACCAACCAAGACATGATTGGAGAAATACAAAAAAAAAAAAAAATACTAAAATGAGCAGCGTTAAAGACTACTCAAAACAATGCTTGGTAGCTCATGGGAGTTAAATATATAAGACTAAAAAAATAAGAACAGGCAAAATAACCATAGATACACATGAAATTTTAAGAACAGTGTACCTAATTCTCATTTTTATTTTTTAGTTCAGTGAAATCTAGAAGGAATGGAGTTTCTCAAAATGTATGCAAAGAATATTAAAACTGTCTGAATATGACAGTGGACTGTAGTAGCTACTCCCCCGCCCACCCAGAACAGTTTTAACCTTATTCTTCCATGAACACTGTTCCCTCTGTTGGATAAACTGTTCTTGATTCTGATTCCAGTGAGGCTATCAACCATGATGTTTCCTTCTCCCTCTCTATCTTGCTTCCTACCTTTGTCATAGGGTGGGCGTATTACCTAAACTGGTCTTGTATCAACTATGCTGACACAATTGGTACAAGAATGAGTATGTGGCACAAGTGTTTTTATCGATGACCATATAAACTAAAGCAGAGAGTCAAGTATCAACTATGCTGACACAATTGGTACAAGAATGAGTATGTGACATTTTTATCGATGACCATATATACTAAAGCAGAGAGTCAACAGTGCTCACTTTCAAAGGGCTTGTTGACTAAGGACCATATAAGCTTTTTTACAGTTTCTTTTGTAGTTTCCATTCTTTAGTACTTCTCTCAATAGAAGAGAATCAAGTAAACAAATAGAATCAGAGCAGAGTTCACAAAGAGAGAAGATCCTAAGAACATAGTTGATTCCTGGGATCCATCTGTCCCTCAGGCAATTTCCCTCCATTCTTTACTTTTTAAAAAATTTTTAATTATTTATTTATTCTAATTTGTTATACATGATGGCAGAATGAAATTCATTTCATATTATACATATAGAGCACAATTTTTAAGTCACTGATTGTAAACAAAGTATTTTGACACCATTCATGTCTTCATACATGTATTCAGAAAAATATAGAACGCTTCATGAATTTTGTGTCATTCCTGCGCAAAGGCTTTACTCCCCCCGTCCCCTTTAAAGCAGTAACTGTGCTCCTGACTTATAATCAAAAGAATCTTAATACATTCTTTTTGTGGCTCAGTGATAGAGTACTTGCTAGCATGTGTGAGACACTGGGTTCAATTCTCAGCATTGCATATAAATAAATAAAGGTTTATCAACAATAAAATACTAAAAAAAAATCAATACAGTGGAACATTCATAACATGAATAAAATCAAATTATATGGAATCAGAATTTGATTTTTTAATGCTCAAATATTCCATAATGATATTATAAAAAATATTTCAAACTTACATGGTTTTTATTTATTCATCCACTGATAAATATGAATTAAGCACTGGCAACTTGCCCAACACTATATTAGATTCTTTTTTTTTTTTCCTTATGGTGTTGGTGATTGAACCTAGGGCCTTTCTGGATGCCAGGCAAGCACTCTACTACTGAGCTACACCCTTCAGCCCCGCAACTCCCCATATTAGGAAAATAAAAAAACAGGAATTGGGTAAATACAATCCCAACCCTCATACCATTAATGTTGAAGGTGCTACAATATTATCTTATCACAATCAGTACTAAAGATCCTTAAAGAAGTCAGAATAATCTAATTTGGAGTGATCTTCACATTACAACCACGGAAACTATTTTTCAATCTTGAGTAAGTCTTACCAGTTTTGGCTCCCCACCCCTCAAGGCCCCATTTTCTGGAAAAAGCTTATTTTCATTTGGTCCAAAGTCAAGTTAATTTTTAAAAATTCAGATAAAACAAATGATATATTACAGTCATTTGATACATATTATGGTCATCAAATGACAACTAGTGGACCAAATTAGGTCTACTGCCTATTTTTGTAAGTAAAATTTTATTGGAACACACCTACAACCATTTGCTACAATGGCAGAATTGAGTAGTTTTAAGAGACTATATAGGGCTGGGGATACAGCTCAGTTGGCAGAGTGCTTGCTTTGTATGCACAAGGCCCTGGGTTCGATCCCAAGC